TGCTTGAAGATTTTTAATCTTTTAGTCTGCTAAATATCTACTATGCTTTGGAAATCAATCCACAATCTTAAGACCTGCCCTAGAGGTGCAGGTTTACAGGCTTGAGTTCCATGAGAAAAAGGCCTTAGGATGTCATCTATCACCATAAAGGCTGATCAAAAGTCTGAACATTGAAGTAATTAACAGCAAACTAAGTCTGGACACCAAAATGGTGTCCACCAAATATATTTCTTTGTTGTCTTCTGTAAAATGGATTGACAGCATTCCCCTATAGAGGAAAACAACTAAACATTTACATCTGCCAGGTTTACATGGATCTAGATTCAGATTTAGATTCTGGATTTAGGTAAAATTCAAAAATGTGTGTCAGAGTCGTTCCAAAAAATACAACTTTGCCCAGAAACAAAGTGACAGATCCACTTTCTCTATTCAAATCTGTCAAGATTTTAATTTCACTTGCACATTAAAAGGAGAAGCATAAATCCACATGCAGTGCCACATGAAACTACTGGGGAGAACATCTAAAGTTTTGGAATATGCAGATGATATCAAGATTTATTGCTCCTCAGCATCCAACTTCAAAGAAATAACGGGTACCCTTGGACACTGGTTAAGTTTAATACTGTGCTGGACTAGGGAGAATAAGACTGAGGTTCTTCTAATAAATAGGAATCTGGACTTGGGACAGAGGTTCAGTCTTATATGGATAGGATTGTTCTTCCCTTGAAACCATATGTCCACTGTCTGGGAGTGACAGTAGACTCCCTGGTTTTAAATCACTGGATTTGAAAGTAGTACCTGTTGCAGTGAGTGTATTGCATAATGATGGCTACTAGGCAGCTGAGATTCTTTCTGAGTTGCTTAGATTTGGCAAGTTAACAATGTTTAATTATTGGGTTCCTATCTCACTAACTTGACTGGGCGGCTAATACAGGTTAGAGCCGCAATATAAAAATAGATATCATGACAAACTAAAAAAACGTTCTTGAAAACGTTTCACTTCTCATCCAAGAAGCTTCTGCAGTTCTGAAGCTTCTTGGGTGAGAAGCAAAATATTTTCAAGAAAAAACTAGGAAAGTCCAGTTGCCTTTTGAAAAGCATCCTTGGGATGACCACAGCCTGGATGATTGAGAATCTCCATGGACATATACCAACAATGTGGGCTAAATTACTTTCCTGACCCCCATGCTTGGGGAATCAGTCAGATCCTCAAGCCTTTCGAAAAGGTAAATAGGATCAGAGCCATCCCCATCTCCAGCAGCATGGTGCTTCAGAAACAGCTATGGAAAAGGCACATTTCCTGGGTTCCATCAGATTAGCCGGATTCACATCATGCCCCACCTGCCTGAACAAATGGGTCTTCCAAAACTGACACAGAGAGAAACAATGGAAGCCAGTTAATTCCTCAAATACCTCCCACCAACCCACCCCGGGCCAGGAAGGGCTTTAAAGGTAATAACCAGTACCTTAAATTGCCATGAAAGCCGATTGGGAGCCAGTGTAGCTCATGGGGCATATGGGCATAATGAAGTACACGTGCTATAATCTATTCAATGGTTGTCTCAAAGATGCTTTTTTCTTCAAAAGGCAACTGGGCTAGGTTTTTTTCCCTTGAGGATAGAAACATTTCACTTCTCATCCAAGAACCTTCATCAGTTCTGATGGTGTGGGAGATGGAAGGATAGGTACTGACAGTTGAGATTGAATGGTAGGGAATGGAATAATAGGTTCTGATAAAGTGATGGTGGCGGATGGAATAATTGTTTGGGTTTTTTTGCAGTTATGTGGTTGCTAGCACCCTCTGAGAGCTGTTGAGGTCACTTGGGGGTTTATCTGTGCCCTCATGGTCACCACCTGAATCAGGGCGCAATTGGTTGTGGAATCTTCTTGGAGCAGCTGCAAGGGCTGTGTTGTAAACTGGAGATAACGTGGTTTCTTATTCCTCCCCCTCTCTTGAAGAACGCGTGTTCAATTATAACCCAGATGGATTATTTTACCCCTCTTTCAAACCAAAGGTCCTCTCTATCCAATATGTGGTTGCAACTATGCAATGAGTACATCCTGACTTGATTATTATAATGCAGTGCATTCTATACAGAATTTTTTTTTGAAAAGCTTCTGGAAGTTACAGTTAGTGATAAACCCAAATCTATTAATTGCTACAAGCTAGAGGAAAAATGCTATGCTTGTACTGAAATATCTGTTCTGGATGTCAGTTGCTTAGTAGACAAAATTTAACATTAAAGCCCTTAATGGTTTGGGTCATGACTCTAGGAGGACCTCCTCTGTTGTTAGAAACTTGTCCTGGTGTTATCTACAGAAGAGGCCCTTTTAAAGATACTCTTACTGTCAAAGGTTTGTTTATCTGCCACATAGAAGTTAGCGTCCTGCATCGCTTCCAAGCTATGGAATGAATTAGCAGAGAACTGCATTTGACCCCCACTCTTGATATCTCAAAAATCTGTAAAGATGCATCTCCTACGCCTATGCTTTTAAGTATTATTGTTACTTGATGTTATGTTTTAAATGTTTGAATAAGTTCCCTTTTTAAAATTCTGGAGTATCCATTTCAGCAAAAAGCTGTATTAAACAGGAATAAATTAAACGTGTCAGTAAATATCACCTGTGCTGAAAAACTGTGTTCAGAAGGCATAATCTACGAACAATGGGCTTGCTGAGTGAAAAAAGATTTGCAGTGAAATTTCTGGAGAGCACCAAATTATTTAATAGCTTTCCTTTTATAAGTGCAGCAATATGGGTATTTGTTTTGGCTTTACACATACTAAAGGAAATGTAATGCTGATATTTTGGATTTCAACCAACTACTACTGGGAAATTCTGCAAAATTTTGTGAACTGTGGTTTAATTTAATCTTCACTATGAAAGCTTTATGTTTGATCTAGCACTACTTTTAGAGAGACTGTCTTGGTTGTGTCATCCAATAACATCTATCTCAGATGCCCTGATAGGAAATGAAAACAAGAAGAAATGTATAACTACCTAAAGAAGAAAGAAAAACTCTAAGTTTCACATCACAGAGCATTATGACTATAATTAAGCATAATTTATTGCTTAGGGTAAGAGATTACATTAACACCCAACAACTTATAAACATAAAAAATATCTGTATAACAGTGATAACATTGATTTACTTGGCTTAGCACTGATTTCAAGCCCCCTGCCAAATGATACATTCTAATTTCAGAAATGGACTATGGTTTTCTATCTGCTAAATAAAATCAGACAGAAGTGCCAAAAGGTTCGGATAAGGAAAAGTTATTTTTTTAACAATAGAAGACTGCACTCTAGATGCAGAACTCTTTATCTTCAATTGGACTATTATTGATATTTATTATTAAGTATACCGCTTTTTATTTAGATCATATTTCCCCCCCCCCATTCCTCTAAATTCTAATTAGAGAAGCAAGCCACCTGCCAGACTGAATTCACTTACCAGACCATGTCCTTGAGTCTAGCTCAGATAAGAATGTTAAACTTGCCTTTCGCATGTTATGGCTATCTCACAGTATTAAAATATGGGTGTCCCCAGTAAGACAGAGCAGTGCTTTCTTTTGTTATCTTCTGTTAAGAAGGCAACTCTAAGAAGATTAATGTGGTATCTTCATAATTATGAAAGAAGGTATTCAGCTTATGATCAAAAGTAGAAAACTGTGCAAGCAGCCACCCCCAAGCTTCTCAAGGCCACTTCATCGTCCTTTTTTGAACACCTGCTGAACAGCTTGAATCCAAGATGCTTCTTTGTAACATTACATCTTTCCTATCAGGTGACAATGAATTTGGGAGAAGAATTTATCTTTGTGAAAGTATTTTACATAAGAACGGAATCCTAATTAAGTTGCTAACAGTTAGGAAATATGACACAAGCTAAGGAAAGTAATACTTTTTATTAGCCTTTCCTAATCTGATATTCTTCAAATATGCTAAACTACATCCAGCACAGTCATAATTGGGAATGATGAGAAATGGAATCCAGGATGTCAAAAAGAAGTAAAAATATGTATCTCAGAAGACAAGTGATTTTAAAGGGGACAAATTTCCTAAATCCTCTATAATTTTTGCTCAGAGATCATGCCAGTATCTGAAATAGAATATTTTGTAGAACACCAAACTACCCCAATTTTTAAGAATCCATATTAGACATTCAAGCAACTAACAAAGGTGTTCTAAAAGTTTTGTTAACTAATTAATTAAATTAAATAATTAAAGATGACTTATTTATGCCTGAAGTACAGAATACACCAATTCTCCTCTAAATTAGATAGTTACCTATCAAATTCAAACCAAACTCCACCCCATTTTTCACTTCAGTGCTCCTATTACTTATTAACAGACTCATTTGTTGCCTTTTGATATTTTGTTATCCTTTGATGGATTCTATCTTTTAACCAAATAGTTCCAATACAGCATCTTAGCAAATATCCTATGTACTTACTTTACTTGTTTTGCTGCAATTTCCACATGCCAAGTGTATTGCATGATTATTGCTGATCTTTAAGCAAGTCCCCCAGTTCTCGCATGGATAGGAACTGGACCAAATTAAGCTATTATCATAAATATCAAGAATCTCACAAAGAGTGAATGCTGAAACTACAATCTAAATTAGTCATTTGGGGGGAGACTTCTCTTTTTGCACTAAAACACCAACCTGGGAATTTAGGTGACTCTGAAATGAATCAGTTTTTTATCTGCAATTGGAATGTTTTTCACTAATAAAACAATCCATGCATTAAAACTCTAAAGAGGAGGAATTTAAGCCTTAGTACTAGCAGCTGCATAGTCTCCTCCTGCAACATTGCACAACAACCATATGTAAATAAGCTGAGTATATTTTTTCTGAAGAATGTGTAATGCATCAGAAGAATATAGGTCGAGTCCTCATTACTTGAAGGATGGAACAACAAATTGAAATATATATATCCAGATGCAGAGAAAACTCTTTTTAAAACTAGATAATAATAGCACAGCTCACCATATCTTACCTAACACTGCCATGACGGTCTTCATAAGTTTCATCGGAGTTTTCCTGCGGCTGATGGATCCACTAGTATGCGGAGACAAAACATTTGTTTTTCTCTGGACATACATGTAGATTCTTATGTATACAACAACCATGATGAAAAAAACTCCCAGATTGGAGACTGTCCAAAATATTAAATAACTCCTGCTATAAATAGGAGCTAGAGAAGAGCAGGTGGAAATGTCGCACAGGCAGTTCCAGCCCAATGTGGGCACCGCGCCCATGAAAATTGCTATGGCCCAGATCAACAAAATAAAAAATGTGACTCTCTTCTTTGTGAGATTACTGTGAACCCTCATCTTCACAATAGATACGTGCCGCTCAACAGCGATTACCAGTAAGTTGGCCAGAGAGGCTGTCAAACTTGTATCCAAAAGTCCCTGGCGTAAAAACCATCTATTTACACTTAATGTTCTTGACACTGGGCCAGTATTGAACATCAAAAATACATAAGCGATACCTGCAAAAAAATCTGCAGCAGCGAGGTTGGCTAGCAAATAATAAAAGGGGTAGTGGAACTTCTTGTTTTTTACCACAGCAGCTATGACCAAAGAGTTTGAAAGGAAAATAAAGAAACAAAAAAAAGTGCCAAAGCATAAAACAATTACAAGAGTTGTCCCTGACCACTCGTCTGCCGTATCAGCATTACTCCTATTATAAAAGAAGTCCATGCGTTTATCATAGTGGCATTCATTCATCCTGGACTTGAGAATTGCATTCTAGAGGGGGGGGAAAGATAAAAAAAAATGTAATTAGAATAAAGTTTTGCTTCCTTATCCTTTTACATTTGCTGTAACTATTACATTTTCACTCAAAAATGATAGTCACATTAATACCATTAGATCAAAATTTCTAACGACTATATGTTGTCCAAAATATAGTTCTGTGTACATGCAACATAAGCTATAGAACTGGGATATTTTCTTCCACTTCTGCATTTTTCATTCAGGAATAAAACATTTTAATAAAATGTTTTATTCCTGTATATGATACAGCTATGATATATTTTGAGAATGCACGATAATACACATATTCTTTATTCAATATCTTCATGAACATGTACCATTAAATGAATTTAAGCACACATAGTGTTTACTGAAACCTTTTAAACACCATGATCACAAAACTTTCATATCTATCTCACAGAGATTACAATCCCTTGATCATAGATCACAAAACTGATTAGTTGTGGTTCTAAGATGAAACAAAGATGACATATTTTGCCAAGTTATAATGCAGCAACTTGGCTTCACTTATGGGCAACGTGTAACTGCAATCATTCTGTGCTCATGGTTTATGGTTTGGTGTTTGCACAATCCAAGCTATTCTGGGTTGTTCCTTTAAGTGTTTTACTGAACCAGATGTAGAACAAAGGGATGTTTTCAAAGGCATTTCAGTCTGTCCTAGCAATTGTTCAAAAGTCTACAATGACTGCACCTTCATGCTCCTGATTTAATTTTAAATTTCTCTTGATGGTTTTCCAATAGTTCCCAATACATCAACCATTTGTCTTTGTCTGCTGTTTCTCTTCTATTATTCGCTTCTTGAGCCAACATCCATAAAGATGTTTTCAGGCACAGCCTGGGTTTATATCTATTCCATATTCTCAATATGGAATGTCTAATAAAATTATTTTTGAAATCCATGTTAATTTTAACATTATCATATCATAAATATCCATGCTATCAAACCTCAGATTGTGACCTTTTAGCTCTAAAAGTCTCTTGTTTCTTAGCAACATCCATCCAGACAGAATAAATAACAAAATACAATTTCGAATTTGTTAAAAATTCTCTTTCCTTTTGCATCTTTAACGGTTTACATTTCATTAGTGGAGTTTTTTTTTCCTTTGCCATATAATTTTGAATATATGTTTCTGACATTATTTAAATAGTATCATTGGTTGTCAAAACAGGTATTGTCTGAAAAAACATTCTCGGCAAAACAATCATTTTTATCACAGAAATTCTCCCCAATATTGTCTCTTTTAATTTCTCCCATCTTAACATATCTGTCTTTACATAATTATTTTGAAATAACATACAATTAATATTTGTCATAATACTTTTTCTTAATCTTAAAAAAACTTATATACATTAGTTCTATTTAATCTTATATTTTCATATTATTTGTTAACATCTTTGTCTTCTGATTGTTAATATGGTATTAAACCCTGCAGTGCAGCCTCATACTCTTAAGTTTCCCAGAATCTCAGTAGAAGAACGTCTTCAAATTAGAAAAGAACAGCACATAAAATCATGGACTTTCTTAGTATAGAGCAGGGGTGTCAAATTGGCGGCCCACAGGCCAGATGTTTCATGTGCAGGCCACACCCACCTGGCCCCGCAAAGGCAAAAAATATCACGATACATCACATGATGCAATTGAGTTTGACACCCATTTTATATAGTATTAAATGTCATAATTTAAAGATGGCTATTACAAATTTATTTATTTATTTATTTATTTTATTGAATTTCTATACCGCCCTACTCCCGAAGGACTCAGGGCGGTGCACAGCCATGAGATAAAACACATAAATATACAAAATTTAAGATCAAGTAAAATGAATTAAATAAATTTGGCTGAAATTAATACTGATTAAAAACCCATAATTTTAAAATACATTTAAAAATTTAAAATTTACAGTTTAAAGGGAGAAGAATTAGGCGAGGCCGGCTTGATGAAATAAAAGCGTCTTCAACTCGCGGCGGAAGGTGCGCAGATCCGGAATCCTCCGTATCTCTGGGGGGAGCTCATTCCAGATCGTCGGGGCCCCCACAGAGAAGGCTCTCCCCCTGGGGGCCGACAGCCGACATTGTTTGGCCGACGGCACCTGGAGGAGCCCCTCTCTGTGGGAGCGTACTGGTCGGTGGGAGGCTGTTGATGGTAGTAGGCGGTCCCGTAAGTAACCAGGTCCTAAGCCATGGAGCGCTTTAAAGGTGGTAACCAACACCTTGAAGCGCACCCGGAAGACCACCGGGAGCCAGTGCAGCTCGCGCAGGAGAGGTGTTACATGGGAGCTCCATGTTGCTCCCATAACCACCCGCGCGGCCGCACTCTGCGCCAGTTGGAGCCTCCGGGTGCACCTCAAGGGGAGCCCCATGTAGAGAGCGTTACAATAGTCCAGACGAGAGGTGACGAGGGCATGAGTGACTGTGCGTAACGAGTCCCGATCTAGAAAGGGACGCAACTGGCGAATCAGGCGAACCTGATGAAAAATCCTCCCGGTCACGGCCGTCAGGTGTTCTTCTAAAGACAGCCGTGAATCCAGGAGGACGCCCAAGTTGTGAGCCCTTTCCGTGGGGGCCAGTGATTCGCCCCCAATAGCCAGCGATGGCGTCAGCTGACTATATCGGGACGTCGGAAACCACAGCCACTCGGTCTTGGATGGGTTGAGTCTGAGCCCGTTTCTCCCCATCCAGATCCGTACGGCCTCCAGGCACTGGGACATCACTTCAAGGGCATCGTTGGGGTGGTTCGGGGTGGAGATGTACAGCTGGGTGTCGTCAGCGTACAGATGGTACTTCACCCCGAAACCACGGATGATCTCGCCCAGCGGCTTTACATAAATGTTGAACAGAAGGGGCGAGAGAACCGATCCCTGCGGCACCCCGCATATAAGGGGCCTCGGGGTCGATCTCTGCCCCCCTGTCAACACAGACTGCGACCGGTCAGAGAGAAAGGAGGAGAACCACCGTAAAACGGTGCCTCCCACCCCCAACCCCTCCAACCGGTGCAGCATGATACCATGGTCGATGGTATCAAAAGCCGCTGAGAGGTCTAACAGGACCAGGACAGAGGAACAACCCCTGTCCCGAGCCCTCCAGAGATCATCAACCAACGCGACCAATGCCGTTTCCGTGCTGTACCCAGGCCTGAAGCCCGACTGGAACGGATCTAGATACGCCGCTTCATCCAGGTACTGGGGTAGCTGTCGCGCAACCACACTCTCAACAACCTTCGCAACAAAGCAAAGGTTGGAGACTGGACGATAATTAGCCAATATTGCCGGGTCCAGGGATGGCTTCTTGAGGAGAGGCCTTACCACCGCCTCTTTCAGGGCGGCGGGAAAGACACCCTCACCCAACGAAGCATTTATAATCCCCTGGAGCCAGCCTCGCGTCACCTCCCGGGAAGCCAGCACTAACCAGGAGGGACACGGGTCCAACAAACATGTGGTCGCGTTCAATCTACCCAGAATCCTGTCCACGTCATCTGGGGTCACAGGATCAAACTCATCCCAGATAACAGTCTCAAGACCTGTCTCCGTCACCCTCGCTGGATCTATCCCGTCAGAGTCCAGACTTGCCCGAATCTGAGTGATTTTGTCATACAGATACTGAACAAAATCCTCGGCTCTTCCCTCCAAGGGGTCCTCCCGCGCTTCCTGATGGAGCAGGGAGCGGGTCACCCTAAACAGGGTGGCCGGGCGATTATCTGATGACGCAATAAGAGCAGCAAAATGGGTACATTTTGCTGCTTTTATCGCCACTAGGTAATTCCTAATATGGGATCTTACCAGTGTTCTGTCAGATTCAGAAAGACTGGCCTTCCAACAGCTCTCTAGGCGTCTTTTCCGGCGCTTCATCTCCCTCAGCTCCTCGGTGAACCAAGGAGCCAGGCGAGATCGGCGCCGGGTCAGAGGCCGCAAAGGCACAACTCGGTCCAGGGCTCCAGCAGCCGCCCTATCCCAGGCGGCCACTAGGTCCCCAGACGAGGCGTGAGCCAGAACCTCCGGGATTGGCCCAAGCTCCCTCTGGAACCTATCAGGTTCCATCAGGCGCCTGGGGCGGTACCATCTTACCGGTTCCGCCTCCCTGCAGCGGGGTGCCGCGGTTCGAAGGTCAAGGCGAAGGAGCGAGTGATCTGACCATGACAAGGGCTCGATGACTATATCCCCTATCTCAAGATCACTCAACCACTGTCCAGAGACAAAAACCAAGTCCAGTGTGTTTCCCCCAATGTGCGTAGGGCCATGAATTAGTTGGGTCAGGTCCATGGCCGTCATGGAAGCCATGAACTCTCGAGCCACCTCAGACGCCTCACCCACGGATGGCAGGTTGAAATCCCCCATGACCATAAGTCTGGGGGTATCAACCGCCACCGCGGCAATAACGTTGAGTAGCTCGGGCAGGGCTGCCGCCACGTGGCAGGGAGCCAGGTACGTGATCAGCAAACCCCTCTGAACCCCATGGCCCCACTTCACAAAGAGGGACTCACAACCAGCTGTCTGAGGTACAGTGGTCTCCCTCGGCCTAAGGCCTTCTCTAATAATAACCGCTACTCCCCCGCCCCTCCCCTGTGGCCTTGGCTGATGGAATGCGTGGAAACCTGGTGGGCACATTTCTACCAGAGGGACCCCTCCCTCTGGGCCCAACCAGGTCTCCGTAATACCCGCCAGGTCCGCTCCCCCCTTGTAAACAAGATCACAGATGAGGGGGGCTTTATTTACTACAGACCTGGCGTTGCACAACATCAGGCGAAGGCCCGGGCCCTGAAGGTCTGTACTACCTGGAGCACGGGTGGAGCTTTGGGGGCCGGAGCACTCTACCGCTTGAAGACAGCGGGCGCGTGCTCCCTTAACATGATATGGCCCCCTGCTCCCGCCATATCTACCTCTCCCACACACAGTACCGATGGTAGAAACACAATCTGGACCAGCTCGACCCCCTCCGGATTCCCCGCCACCCCCGCCGGACGTCCTGGCCAAGCCCGA